TTCTTGATGAAACCTTGTCATGGAAGGTTCACATCCAATCTATTAAAAGTAAAATCTCTTATAATATTTCCGTACTTTATAAAATAAAACCAATTTTAATCGCAAAAGCTCTAATGAAACTTTATTTTTTATTTATTCACAGCTATCTTTCATACTGCAAAATTGCATGGGGAAGTACGAATTACAAAAAACTCAAAAAACTTTATAGTAAACAAAAGCATGCTTGTAGGATTGTATTTAGGGCAAACAGAACTGTTTCTTGCAAACCGCTATTAAATCGTCTCAAGGCCTTAAACATTTATAAACTAAACATTTACCAAATATTACTTTTCATGTTTAAAATGAAACATGGAATATCTCCACTTATATTTCAATCTTATTTTAATGAGATATCTCATAAGTATCCAACAAAGTTTTCAGAGGATAACTTTATTGTTCCGAGAATTAATTTAAAAATAAGTTCTTATCGAATTCAATATCGAGGACCATTTTTATGGAAAAATTTTATTAAAAACTTTAATAAAAATCACTACTCTTTAGAAAAATTTAAAACAGTTTCTAAAAGAATCGTACTTCAATTAGATTTTAATTAAATAGACTTTAAATATTTTTTTTAAAAGGTAATTTTAAAATAGAAAAAACGCTTCCATTAGCACTAAATATATTTTGTTATATGAATCAAATATATTTGTATTAGTATACAAAACTTTCTTTATTTTTAAATTTTTAATATAATTGTCATTTTATTATTTGACAAAAGTTATGTACTCTTTAACGTTTTTTTGTATATTTTATTCATATTTGTTTATAAACACGGACTATTTGTAAACGGGGCTCGGTGATAAGACAGTCATTGTCTTCTTCTTGCTCCGGCCAATTTTTATAAATGTAATATGTCTTTATTGTAAGTATATGAAACAGCAAAAAACTAAAAAGTGAAATTAAAATGAAATAAATTATTAGTCTCTATATTTATACCTAAAAAAAAGTGAAATAAATTATTAGTCTTTATATTTATACCTATTTTTCGCAAGGCTTATGACTTATTAATCAAGTCGGAAAACCACGTGACTTGAGTAATAGCAATAGGTTTGGGGCTTGTTTTCCCTCAACATGCTATTGTTATTACACAAGTCACATGACTCATACTCAAGAACGAAATACGGTTACCGTATTTCATTTTAAAAATGAAATACGGTTTTCGTATTTCAGCTTTTCCGTTCAAATAACTGGAAAACTCCTTTAATTTAGCAAATAAAAGGTTACTTAACTCATCTTACAGAGTTTACGTGAAAGTCAAAAATAAAAAATAGAATTTATATGTTGTTATAAAAATGTTATAAAAATATTATAAAAATGTTATAAAAATTATAAAAATTTGACTATTAAAAAACATACTTGTGAAACGATTAAAAATTATAATATAATACACATTAAACTCAACAAAAAAATCTCAGTAGTTTTGAGTACTTTAGCCACTAATAACACATTTAAGAAAATCTGTTTTAGACCATATGCAAAACGTACTAAGTCACAAAAATAAATTTTTTTAGTTAACTTCATTTCCGCAATCTATACATTGAAATCTAGTACAATTTAAATATTAGACCGCTAAAAAGTTTTTTTTTTATATATAAAAAGAAAAAATATCAATTTCCGTTGATGCACAACTATGATAGCTCAGTTTTTACTAGTTTTCTTAAATTACGTGGATTTGGTGCGTTTTCCAGATGAACTTCTCATAATATTGATGAAATAATTATTGTAATAATAATAGTTATAATAAATATAAACAAATTATATTATATTAAAATAGTTATTATATATATTATATTTTATATATTATATAATATTTATGATAACAAATTATGATAACAAATTTTATTATGACAAATTATATTATATTGTAATAGTTATTATATATATTATATTATAATAGTTATAATAAATATAAACAAAACGTCTTTTAATATTATCAGGATGCAGTTATTTAGAAGAAAGTGTAGATTAGAAGTAGATAAAATTTGCAGGCAATATGAAAAATGGATTTTTATAAATTTCTTGATAAATAAATATTAAAGTATATATATCATCACAAATGATCCTGACCATTGTATTTTTGGGTTTTGTCAAAAGGGGACCATTTTTGAGGAGTAAATCCATGATTTCAGCTGGCAGCTTTTCCAGGGAACTTTGAAAACAAGTGTCCAGCATAGCATCAGAAGATTTAGTTTTGAAATTAAATTTCGAGTTGAAAACTGAGGAAATGAATGAGGAACTAGAACCTGAGGAAAACTTTCAATAGTAGTATTTCATTATAAAATTTACAATCAAAATTAATTAAATGATAATTTAAAAATAAATAATTTTTTTTAAATAAATAATTAAATGATAATTTAACAATTATTAACATCAAAATTTCTGTTCTACAAATAACTTTGCTAAAAAACCACAATTTTAAATAATTTAAATATAGATTCGATAACGAGAATAATAATTAAGAGAAGTTTTTTAAAAAGACTGCAAATAACACAGGCCAACAAAAAAAAAAAAAAAAAAAAAATTCTGGTGCCGAGCAAACAATTAGTTTTTTTTATAGCATTTCTCATTTTCATTTCAAATATGCAACTCATTTTTCACCATCACGTCAAAGTTGTAAATATATTTGGGTTCAAATCTTTAGTATTTAATTTTGCTGTGAGCATATGTTCAGCAAGAGTTCTCGATGAATGATATCAGAGTTTTATAATTGATTTTTTTACGAGATTAAATAAAAAATAACTACATAATTTTTACTACTATAAGTTTCATGCGTTTAACAATCATCAGGTAAAAATACATTGTTTTTTTCGTTAAAAAATAAACTATATAATAACATCGTGACGTTCAAAAACAATATTAAAATGTTACTATTTGCAAGCGTAGTTTGGTTTTTTAATCTTTGGGCTCGTGGTTGTCAAGCAAGAACTTGTTTTCATGACGGAACTTACCCAGTGAGAAAAAAGACATCTTTAGACGAATAAAAGGCGTCTTTTTTATGACTTGTTATGTCTTTTTATAATCAGCCAAAATAAAGACGTAGAAAGACGTCTTTTAAAAAGACGTCTTAAAAAAGAGGTCGAAAAGACGTCAATCGGTTGTTAATAACCCAGTAAGCACAAGACGCATTTTAGACACTTATAGACGTCTAAAACTAGTCTAGGTAAAGACGCACTTTTATAGACGTTTTAAAGACATCTTTTAGACGGCTTTTAAGAATGCGTTTTTAAAATGACCTTTAAAAAGCGTCTTTTTAAAAGATAAAAAGACGTCTAGAAGACGTCAATTTTTAAGACATCTTCTAGACGTCTTTTATAAAGGCGTTTTTAAAATGACGTTTAAAAGGCGTCTATTTAAGCGTTAAAAAAACGTCTAGAAGATATCTTTTTTTAAGACATCTTCTAGACGTCTTTAATAAATGCGATTTTAACATGACGTTTAAAATGCGTCTTTTTAAAGTTTAAAAATTCGTTCAAAAGACGCGTAATATATAGTCTAAAATACGCATTAAAAGACGTCTAGATCAAAGCGTCTTTTCTGAGACCTGTTTATAAATATGTCATTATGACTTCTTTTTGACGGCTTTGTCATTACGCGTTAAGTAGATGTCGTATATTCAAAGTAAAAACATAGTTTTTATTATTTTCTATAATTTGTTCAAGTTTTAAGTGTAAATTACTTTAAATTAAATTACTTTTTTACACAATTGCTAAAATTGTTGTCACAGGAATCACTAAAATAATTGCTATAATAATAATATATCTTTTTTTTATTAATAATTATTTTGCTTTTTTAATAGATAGTTGACTGATCATGATAATAAGTGAAAATGGCAAGAATAATATATAAGTTAAATATCAGTACTTTTAGTTTTTATACACCCACAAGCCATATAATAAGTCAAGTATGCCGTCAAAAATTAGCTAGCAATATGTATGTCAAATATTATTATAACAATAGGTAAGTTAAAAATGTTTTAAATACTGTTTTGATATATATTTGTTATTGTTACTTATTATTTTCATCTTTGATGCATCAACCGTTGGTGGTGATTACAGCAATATTATTTTGATTGCTGGTTCCTATGTATATTTTGTAAATACAAAATTATAACAATATATGATGTTATAAATACAATAAATATATTCCACATACTACGCGAAAATGTTACGTCATGTACTTAAATTTATCTTGAAAAAAACGTCTAACATACGTCTAAAACGCGTTTTTATAAAGACATCTTCATTTAGACGTCTTTTAGCCTTATGATCTAGACGTCTACAAGTGCGCCTTTTAGACCTCCTTAAAGACATCTTTAAAACGTCTTTTAAACGTCTTTGTGCTTACTGGGAAGGAAATCATTATTTGCTTAAGAAATTTAAAAATAATTATTGCCAATAGAACCTAACAAAAATGGGTTTTAACCCACAGTATCGTAATTACGATATCTTTGTTACATTCTGATCAGTGGCGGAACTACTGGACGCAGGACCCTGCGTTGCGGGGGGGCCTACCAGCTATAGGGGGCCCTCATATAAAAAAAGTTATACTCTCAATAATATTTATACTATAAAACTCTTTTCCGCAAAAAAAACATTCTTTTGCGGGGGGGCCCAAACTTTGAAGTTCCGCCACTGATTCTGATTGGCCCGTTTTATGTTTACAAAATACTTTTATATAACCTTTATGTGAAACGTTTTTGCATAGGAAATTTAATTAAAAATCAACTTTTTTTCGGTAAGCGGGTTTATTTAATAATTTATATAACAAAATAATATATTATGTAAAATATACAAAATATAAATGCATATTTATATATATATATATATATATATATATATATATATATATATATATATATATATATATATATATATATATATATATATATATATATATATATATATATATATATATATATATATATATATATATATATATATATATATATATATATATACTGAAATAAATATACAATTGCAGCTGCTTAGCTAAAAAATGTTAATCGGAAGAAGCAAAAGTGGATGGCGTGGTGCCTGTAAGATAGTATCAATATGATCTAGTCTTAATTAAGTTAGTCGCAGGTAAGTGTTTTAAAAAAGTATTTTTAGACTCATTTTTTAATGTATTGTGCTTGAAGAACGTTGTTTATTACATATTAAATTAAAATATTTATTTTCAGACAAAAAATAAAACCTGTAAACAATTTCTCTTTATATTTACTTGTTCAAGTGCCAGTGAAACGAACAATAGAAAAGAAGAAGCATTCAGTAGGCTTGCAATTTTTTTTTATTTTTTTTTAAATGATCTGAATAATTTTGTTGTTTTTATTTTGTTGAATGATGAAATTGTTTATACAAAAGATTGTTTCTTCAGCTTTTATGTTAAATATGTTATTTCCTTGTTAACTGTTGTCTGTCATTAATAAAGCAATTATAAAAATACACATAATGACAACAGATTTATCTTTAGAAATGTTCGCAAACTTTTTGTTTGGTGTGTTTTTTGGTTTGGATACAAAAAATCAAGTGAAAATGATACTGGAAAGGTACACTTACTTATATCTAAACATCATTGCAACTTTCTAGTCTTTTAGTCATTTTTATTTATGTGTATTTCATCTGTGTTGCTAATGATATCGCCAGTTTTTATGATTTTATGTTGTTAAGTAAAGCATCCTTATGCTTCAGACTAAAATAGAGCTTTGACTAATACTTTTTTCTAGTTTCAATGAATAACAACTCTTAAAGTGTATTAGCTGAATTATCTTTTTGTTTTGTCTTTAGTCAATAACGGATTTTTAAATTGTTATGAGTCTACAACACTTTATTTCAGCGAAATTCAATTAAAAATTATGTTATAGAAGAAAGAAAAATATCATTATCTGTTTTCAATAACTTGGCTTTCATAACCAATCTGAGAGGTGCAAATGTTTAGCTTGATTTAAGTACTACATAATAAAATACATCGTTGTACACTCATTTTGATGGTTGTAAATTTATTTAGCACACTCATTTTTATATATTTTTAGACTGTTAACCGTTTGACTCCTGTCCCAACCTAACCTAGTAGATTCAAAACGAAGGAACCGCGCTGGAAACATGAGTGGATTAAAAGGATCAGTCCTTTTTGAATTAATATTCGGTAAGTATAATGTGTTCCACTCAGCTAATCGAGTTTCATTTGCTTTTTTTGTATTACATTTAAGCAATAGAATGTTTTTTATGTTCACTTGTTTTTTAGAAGTGGTAACCAGCTAGAAGTCGTAACCTGCTCGTAGAAAAGATTTCTCGACGTGAAATTGTTAATTTTATTCAACAATGCCAAGAAACAGAGCTCGCTCAAGAAACAGAAAAGAAAGAGAAAGATGAAAAAATATTCTGTTGAACAATACTATTGTTTTATTTATAAATTATTCTCCTATAATTAAATATATAAAAGATGTAGAAAATGCTTCCTCTTTTATATTAACATCTAAAAGAGGTTTTTTTCTCGGCATCGGAAAAAGCTATTTGTCATACTTTGTATAAAGAGCTATTATCATTTTCATTTGAAAAAAATCGCTTTTCAAATAAAAATAGTAGGAATACTATAGTGTAAAGAATTCTTTAGTATACTAATACGTATGGCAAAAAAGTCGTTCCGACCCCGAGAAAAAACACTTTATTAGATTTGCATATTCGGCTGAAAAAAGACGTCTTGAAGGCGCATTTTTTATGTCTTTTCATGACAAGATTAAGATAAAAAAAGACGTCTTTTCGATGTCGAAAAAAGATGCCTTATAGATTTGCATAATAGATTAAAAAAAGACGTCTTAAAGACATCGTAATTAAAAGACGTCTTTTCGACGTCTTTATTCCCACTGGGTAGATATTATTTATGTTTTTTTATTTAATAATTCTTGCGTACCTTTGTATGATATTATGCAAAGTTTTTCATGAAGGCAAAGCTAGAATTTTTTTGTTACGTTGCTGTAGGCGGGAATTTGTTTAATTATTAATCAGGTTAACTTGGGTATTATTTTTTATCTGTCATATATACTTTGAAAGGGGTTTGACTTCAACCATTCTCTGCAAATAATAAAGCAAATTCCCATCTCTATCAACGACAGATTATCAAAAAATTCCTCAAATGAAAAAATATTTAATTTATCTTTACTAGAATACGAAGATGAATTAAGAAGAAATGGCTTCACTGGTTTTAATTTAAAGTGTAATCCCCAAAAAAGAGAAAAAAGAAAAGAAAAAGAAATATAATATGGTTCAACCCCCATATTATATTTCTTTTTCTTTTCTTTTTTCTCTTTTTTGGGGATTAAAATATTAAATATTAAAAGAGTTTCTACCAATGTCGGACATATCTTCAGGCCTTCTCGTAAGAGGCGTGCGATCGGACGCTTTATATGGCCAGGCATATAGTTCTTTGTTTAAATAACTTGATCACGGCTCTTTGCAAGTTTTTATAATTAGCGCATTTAAAAAAAACAAATCAAATGTAAATGCTATTTTTAATTGATTCCATAATTACAATTCAACTGTCACGAGTACTTTAATGAAACTTAGATAGCTTAACTTTTTGATAGCTTCTGTACTCATTTTGCCTTCAACTCTAAGTTTCATTAACGAGTACTTTAATGAAACTTAGAGTTGAAGGCAAAATGAGTACAGAAGCTATCAAAAAATAATTACAAACCGTTTTATCATGGAAATATAATTTCTAATAAAGAAACTATTGACTAAAAAAAAGAAAATTATTTACTAAAAAATTATTTGCTTTTTTAATTATAAAATATAAAAATTATAATTATAAATAATTATAAAATTATAAAAAAATAATCTTGAAACAGTCGCATTTGCCAACTATTTTTTATCCTAGGGCGTGACGTACCGTTTTTTTTTAATGAACGTTGACTTGCGTATCTTAATTTATTGACGAACGTCTAATTTAAGAGATTTATGTCAAACGAATTTCAAATAATTTTTATTTAGTTAATAAGTTATCAAATATATCAAAGATGCTTGGTAAATTAATTTATTCAAAAACTTTTTTTTACACATTTGCAAAGCGCGCGCAAATTAATGATAAATGCACAATAAAAAAAACTTTTAAAAGTGTTTTTAATATGCAAACAAACATTATTTCACTTTATAGAAAATAATATAATTAAGAAAAAAAACATGCACAATTTTATTTATAATGAAATCATTTGCTTTAAACTTTTAATGTAATTGCTAAAAACAGAAAAGAAACCATGCTTAAACGTTAGGCCGGGTGAATAAAAATGAGCAACTGCTTTTACTCAATAATTGGTCAGCTTTACGTGAATAAAAACATTAGCCGTTTTGCTCAAATTTTTATTCACGTAAAGTTAAATAATTTACTTAGTGAATGTTCGACTCGTTTTTATTTACCCGGCCTAATATGATCGCTTTCATCAATAAAAGAAAGCAATCGAATTGTTTTGGATGGTTTCTTCGGAAGTTTTTGCAAAAGGACTTATGTTAAATTATGCATACTTTTGTGAGCGCATGCAGAAACCATGCTAAAACATAATTACTTTCTATTTATTTTACTTAAAAGTGACGCTATTGAAAAAAGTAATTATGTTTTGGCATTTTTTAAAAAAAGTCTCTGTAGTTAATTGTTTTTCATTTTAAATAAGTGTTTTTTTGTAATAAATAAAAAACTAATGATCGCAAAATTATTTTGAAAAAATGCGTTCGTTTTGAAAAATCTTAATCAAACGGTAATGTTTGTATAAGCAAAATTAAAGCAAAGTTATTTTATTCTTCTTTAAATATTTTACTTTTTTAGGTTAAATTTTGTTATATATAATATTTTAAGGATTTTATTCTCTTTTAAGTTTATGGAATGTTTATTTTAATTTGCTTTGTTTTTTTTAGCGCAATTTTTTAAAGGCGCTAATTATCAAAACTTGCAATGAGCCGTGGTCAACTTGTTCAAATAAAGAACTATATCCGTGGTCATATAAGGCGTACGATCGCATGTCTCTTATTAGAAGGCCTGTATCTTTCTAAACTTAATCGACAAACATTCTCCAACTTCCCACCCCCTAAGTAAACTATCCAATCGAAACACCATCAAAGTGAGTTACAGCTGCACCAAAAATATCGAAAGAATTATAAAAAGCCACAACAAGAAAATCAGTTCAAAAAGACCAAAAGAATACCCACCCTGCAATTGCATAAATAAAGAAAACTGCCCTATAATAGGAAAATGTAGAGCCTCAAACTATATTTATAAATGTATAATATCCCCCCCCCCCCTAACGCTCCAGAAAAAGTATATATTGGTCTAGCAGAAGGTGAATGAAAGAAAAGATGGGCTAACCACAAACACTCATTCACAAACAAAAAGATGAAAAATTCGACTATATATATATATATATATATATATATATATATATATATATATATATATATATATATATATATATATATATATATATATATATATATATATATATATATATATATATATATATATATATATATATATATATATATATATATATATATATATATATATATATATATATATATATATTTGTTGTTGTTGTTTTTTATTACAATATTTATGTTACAGATACAAATAATGTAAAAAAAGAAAAGTTAACAAGTCAAGATATCGTTGAGAAATAAAGTATAAAAGTAAATATAAAGAACGCGGATACTCAAAGAACCGCAATTTAAGAAATTAGAAGAAATTAGAACTTTTTTTTTTTTTTTTATGTTTTTTTTTTTTTTTTGTTATGGTGTTTACAGCGTGCATCAATCAAATTACTGTGTTATCCGAACAGCTGACTCATGCGAATAATAATGTTATAATTTTCTAGATAAATGTCTTAATCTAATTTGTCGAAAATAATCACTGAATTTTATTAATCGCTATATATTATTTACTATATATCAGTGTATATAATCAATGTAATCACATTTCCAGACTGAATATCTACAATAGAAGAGTTCTAAAACTTAAAAACTAAAACATTTTAAATAACTCAAAAAAATTAAACATGTTAAATAATTGCTTGTTGATAAAATAATTAATAATATGGCTGCGTATAAACTTTTTTAAATAAATACGGCGTCATTAGGTATAATACCTGCTTCTATTCTAGTATAATAGGTGTAATAATCAGGTATAATACCTGTTTCTATTCTTCAGGTATTATACCTGATGACACTGATCACAATAGATCAGCGAAATATCGAAATTATTAGATAGATGAAAATGATCTATTTATTCAATAATTTATCACGCGCAACTTGATTAATATACATATATATATATATATATATATATATATATATATATATATATATATATATATATATATATATATATATATATATATATATATATATATATATATATATATATATATATATATATATATATATATATATATATATATATATATATATATGGGTATATATATATTTTTTTATTTATTTTCTAGAAACAGAACTTTTTTTGGAATATAAAAAAGAAAATGGAGCTAAATTGAGGTTTTCTAAGTCAGGTACTCATCATATTTGTGTATGTACTATTCACCAGAATATAAAATTAATGCTTGCAAGTAGCCCAGTTACTGTAGACTATAAATGTCTGATTGAAAAAATAGTTTGTGACATTGAATCCAAAGAATGTATGTTTCATCGTTGCGATAAATGTCCAGGGACTGAAATTTTAAAAGCTTATCTTAAAGAACAGTTTAAAGACTTTGAATCTGATGAAACAATAACATTCAATGGATAAAAGTAGATAGTGAAACTTTAGAATCTTTGCAATTGCCAGTAGATGACTTTATAGATAAATTAATTTCAAAAGTATCTGTTTTATCTAAGCATCATTTTATTGCCAAAAATCAAAACAACTATTTGTGATTATTGAAAAATGAATTGAATTCAAATGAGTTGATCATTTTGATGGATTTTTCTAAAAACTATTTGTTTGTTGTACAAGATGCTGTTCAAGGGTTTTACTGGGAAAACAGCCAAACAACTTTGCATCCTTCTGTTGTCTACTATAAACTTAATGACATACTTAAAAATGTATGTTATTGTGTTATTAGTGATTGCATGCATCATGATACTATTTCTCTTTATGTATTTATTAGTAAATTAATAGTTGAACTTAAAACTTATTTGTCTTTTGAACTTATTCATTTTTTCAGTGACGGTTCAGGCACACAGTACAAAAACTTTTAAACATTTATGAATTTATGTTACCATTATACTGACTATGGCAGTAAAGCAGAGTAGAATTTCTTTACTACTAGTCATGGAAAATCCCCTTGTGATGGAATTGGAGGAACTGTATAGCGTTTAGCAACACGTGCCAGTCTTCAATGGCCAATTAATAATCAAATTTTAACGCCTTT